GAACAACCACTTAGCAACCACTTAGCAACCACCTACAAAAACTTTGCAATATTGTAACAATGACTCAGAACAGCCTAGCAACCACTTACATACTATTAACAATTTAACAACTCTATAACAATGACTCGGAACAGTATAGTACCTACCAATAACAATTTCGAACATTGTAACAACTCTGAACAGCCTAGCAACCATCTAGCAACTATATACAACACAACAGTAACAATTTTGCAACATTGTAACAATGACTCAGAACAGCCTAGCAACCACCTATAACACACTAGTAACAATTTTACGACATTGTAGCAATAAAGCAGAATAGCCAAATAAATATTTAGCGACAGCCTACAATAATTTTGCAACATTGTAGCAATGACTGAGAACAGCCTAGCAACCATTTAGCAACCACCTACAACACAATAGTAACAACATTGCAACATTGTAGCAATAACTCTGAAGAGCCTATAGCAACCCTTTATCAACCACCTGCAACCAGTTTGCAACATTGTAGCAAAGACTCAGAACAGCCTAGCAACCACCTACAACACATATTGTAGTACATTTTTGTAAGGTGAGGTGAAGTCTTGAGTGAAAGCTGGTCTTCTACTGCTCTTCCCTACAGCTGAGCACTTTAGATTAATAACATTAATAATGTAGTAATAACATGACGTCTCCAGCCACGACTACAGCAGTCCAGTCTAACCTTGTTCTTCATGAACTTGGAGTGGTTCTTGTAGACCTCCATCTGCCTGAACTCTTCTCCATGGCTGTCTGTCTGCACCAGGCCATTGCTCTTCATGGTCTGGATCTCGTCCTCCAGGTCTCGAATATTCCTCTCCAGCGCTGTGATTTTGGTGTCCTGTGTGGGACACGGCATGAACAGAAGAAAATACATGTTATGGAGAAATAACGTCAAACAGATCTCTCAAAGAACAGATAACTGCACCCCACCCACCCACAAGAAATGAAATTAATTAATAAAATAAATAATAAATTAATTACTAAATAAAATGAATTAATGAATGAAAAAATAAATAAATAAATATAATAAATAAATAAATAAATAAAAGAAATAAATAAAAGAAACAAATAAATATAGCAAATAATTTTGTATAGATAAATAAATATAATAATTAAATTATTAAATTATTCATAAAATTAAAAAATAAATACATAAATAAATTTAATAATTAATTATTTATTTAATTAATTATTAAATTAATTAATTAATAAAATAAAATAAATGAATAAATATAAATATATAAATAAAACAAATGATTAAATACAATAAATAATTTTTAGAAGTAAATTAACATAAGAAATTAAATAATCAATTAATTAATACAATAAAATAAAATGAAATAAATATAATAAATAAATAAATGTAATAAACAAACATAATAAATAAATAAATAAATAAATAAATAAATAAATAAATAAATAAATAAATAAATAAATAAATAAATAAATAAATAAATAATTAAGTGTGTGCATGTGTGTGTGGTACAGTACAGTACCTTCCATATGAAGTCAGGCTCATAACACAAAGCTGGTGTTGTTCTCTGAAACACAGAATATTACACATAAATAGGAGTATGAATATTAGATAAGAGTGCATATGATATGTGTGAAAGAGCATGAGCGTGACAGCTGCTGTTGACTCACACACACAACACTATCACACTTACACACACACTCACACAAACACATACATACAGTCAGACAAACACTCACACATACACACACACACACACACACACACACACACACACACACACACACACACACACAAGCAAACACCTACACAAACACACACTTGTAAACATTCACACACACATTCATACACACATGTTAAGTCTCGCTCGCTCACACACACACACACACACACACACACACACACACACAAACACACAAACACACACAAACACAGACTCACACACACACACATATATACATACACACAAGTTCACAATTACTCACATACACACAGACACACACACACACATTTTCAAACACTCAGACACACACTCACACAAAACATTCTCTCACATACTTATTAGCACACACACATATATACATACACACAAGCTTACACACACTCACATTCACTCACACATGCAAACACGCAGACACACACTTACACACAGGGTCAGATACACAGTCACAGACACATACACTCTTACACAAACACACATACAAACACTCACATACACAGTCAAACAACACACTCACTCTCTCACACACACACACACACACACACAGAATCACCACAGCAGATGAATGAATCTATTTGACTATAGTAGAGTTTAAGAGCACTACAGTGTGCACTATGACTCCCTATCGTATGTTGTGATGTGTGTGTATAATACCTGCTTCAGGTGTAGAGCAGGTGTAAGAGCGCTCACCTTCACACTGATGACGGTGTTGAGGACTTTGGTCTGTGTGGTGTCCGTGACGGTGTTTCTCCTGTGTAACTCCTGTGGAGGAACTCGATAGAAACACGGATGCCGACTCGTCATTCTCGCACACTTCTTAGTGCCCTACACCATCCTGAGGATCACCTGCGCTCGTCTTAAACAGATGAACTGCTCTCTTCATGAGACCTAAGCTGGATATTTGCTCTCAGTCTAGGTTTCCTCCTCTGCATGTCATCTCTGTGGACTCTATCTATTATTCATTTTCCTTTTTAACTCTCTGTCTTCCTTCCCTCGACAGTGTGTGATCTCTGTAATAATGACACAGCCAGATGGTGAACGGAAGCCGAAATCAATAATTCATACCGGGGTGTTTTCACCTCACACTGTATAAAAACATCATGCAGCTACTTAGAAACATGAGTTCACCTATTGTTAAGTTCACTCATACATTTTCCCTTGTTCATCAGGGGTCGCCACAGCGGAATGAACTATTCCAGCATATGTTTTACACAGCGGATGCCTATCCAGCTGCAACCCAGAACTGGGAAACACCCATTCACACTTATTAGTAACTCAAATAAGCACTCGCAGAGGAGCATCTCTGAACACACAACACGTCCAACCTTGAGGCGGATGGGCTACAGCAGCAGAAGAGCACACCGGGTGCCGCTCCTGTCAGCTAAGAACAGGAAACTGAGGCTACAATTCACACAGACTCACCAAAACTGGACAATAGAAGATTGGAGAAACGTTGCTGCTCTGATGAGTCTCCATTTCTGCTGACACATTCGGATGCTCGGCTCACAGTTTGGCCTGAACAACATGAAAGCATGGATCATCCTGCCTTGTATCAGCGGTTCAGGCTGCTGGTGGTGGTGTAATGGTGTGGGGGAGATTTTCTTTGGGTCCATTAGTACCAATTGAGCATCAACGCCACAGCCTACCTGAGTATTGCTGCTGACCATGTCCATCCCTTTATGAGCACAGTGTCTCCATCTTCTGATGGCTACTTCCAGCAGGATAACGCAGCATGTCATAAAGCTCAATCATCTCAGACTGGTTTCTTGAACATGACGATGAGTTCACTGTACTCAAATGGCCTCCACAGTCACCAGAGCTCAATCCAATAGAGCAGCTTTGGGATGTGGTGGAACGGGAGATTGGCATCATGGATGTGCAGCCGACAAATCTGCAGCAACTGTGTGATGCTATCATGCCAATATGGAGCAAAATCTCTGAGGAATATTTCTACGCCATGAAGGGGATTAAGGCAGTTCTGAAGGCAAAAGGGGGTCCAACCTGGTACTAAGTGGCTGGTGAGTGTATAAAAAACAAAGATAATACTCTTTTAAAGAAAAAGAAAAATCCCTTACATTCCTGGTGATTTACATTACAATGAAAAAAAGATAAAATATGAACAAGTTCATTAATGTTTTTTAATTTACATGATTTGATAAAAACAAATGCTAAAACTAGCACTCAACGTCAAGTCTCATCTTTCAGTTCATTTTATTTTTAGAGGCTGTAGAGTGTGAATGACTTCCTGAAAACAGCGGTTACATGATGATGAAAAACTGAAAGTGAAAAGTGCCGGAGTGATGTAGATTAAGGCTGTTGTGGTCCAGCAGGTGCAGCAGTTCCTCATACGAGAAGCACCACTACTTTCCCCTTCACTTTCTCTGATTTCTCTCTTTTAAACTGCTGTCTTACATGTTTAACATTCATTCATTCATTTTCTTGTCGGCTTAGTCCCTTTATTAATCCGGGGTCGCCACAGCGGAATGAACCGCCAACTTATCTAGCAAGTTTTTACGCAGCGGATGCCCTTCCAGCCGCAACCCATCTCTGAGAAACATCCACACACACACACTCATACACTATGGACAATTTCAGCCTACCCAATTCACCTGTACCACATGTGTTTGGACTGTGGGGGAAACCGGAGCGCCCGGAGGAAACCCGCACAAACGCAGGGAGAACATGCAAACTCCACACAGAAACGCCAACTGAGCCGAGAATCGAACCAGCGACCCAGCAACCTTCTTGCTGTGAGGCGACAACACTACCGACTGCGCCACGGCCTCGCCCATGTTTAACATATTTCCTCTAATATTTGTTTTATTTTGGCTAGAATAAAGCAGTTTTTAATTGTTTTAAAGCCATTTTAAGCCCAATATTATTGGCCCCTTCAGCAATATTAGTGTTGGATTGTCTTCAGAACAAACCACTGTTATACAATGACTTGCCTAATTACCCTAACTTTACCCTAATTACCCTAGTGAAGCCTTTACATGTCACTTTAAGCTTAATACTACTGTCTTGAAGAATATCTAGTCTAATATTATGTGCTGTCATCATGGAGAAGAGAAAAGACATCAGCTATTAGAGATGAGTTATTAAAACTATGATTATACAATATGTAGTTGTCCCAAACCAACAAAGCATACAAACAAAACAAGCTCTGTAAAAAACAGTAGAAGTGCAGCATTATTTTACTACTTGAGCATCTTCTCCTTTAATAGTAGTGGAAAACCTGAGTGAAGAACAAACACCGCCACCTGCTGCACAACACTGGTATGGCAGCTGACATAATAAGGGGAACAGATATCTGTTATATAGTTCTGATGTTTGAGATAGTAGTTTCAGACCTTTGGTATATTAGCAACAACATTTGCATCTGGTGTATACAAGCATATCTTTCGAAACGTTAAGGTTATTAGTGACCATAACTTTATTAGTTACTAATAACGTTAACTAATTAACTAGTAACTAATTTAACAGTTAAAGTTATTATGACATAGTTAACCTGCAGTGATTTAGTGTAAAGAAAGATTCTCGTTTCAAATTATATAAATAAAAACATCTCTCGCTCATTGTTATTGTTTGATCATTTAATTCGCATGATTCTGGTTTCATGAAAAGCAGCAGTGTCCATTAAAGCTCCCTAATTTCAACAGTTCACTGTGAGACTTTACAGAGATTGAACATTTCAGTGCACTTAAAGAGTTTTGCAATTGAGACAGCACTTACAGAGGACCAATTATACAAAAATCACCATCATAACGGGGTTTAAACATTAGAGACCAAATGTGAGTATATTTAGTAAGAAGCTTATTTATTACATTTTTTATAAACACACGTCATAAAAACAGTCTGCAGACACACTTTTTATTCTTATTTTCTCTTTGTATGTGTCCTTGTGGGGGAAAGTCCAGCCCATCATTTGCAGGGATCTCATTTGAATTTAAAGTGACAGTCAACAAAATGGCACAATTTGGTTTAAAACTTAAAGGGTCAGTTTTAAGAATGACTTGAAATAATTTGTGTGGTATTTTGAGCTGACAGTTCACACACACACACACACACACACACACACACACACACACACACACACACACACACACACACACACACACACACACACACACACAGACAAACACACACACACACACACACACACACACACACAATCCAGGGACATGATTTTGCATGTTGTAAAATGCAGCATATTTGGTCCTCTTTAAAATCAACCCAGGCTCATTCTGAAAATGTACCCCTGTATACATTTCTGGAGAACACCAAATACGTCCTAGGAGCTACGTTTTCTGCAGTTTTTGTTTTCACAAATCCACCAGAGGCCGCTGTGTGCGCTTTTTCAGATCTCAAATTTCTCCCACAAGTTGCCATTTCCGCATGCTGTTCTCACGTAAATCCACCAGAGGCCGCTGTCGACTGACTGACTGACTGACCTATTCTCCTCCTTCCATAAACTCAACCGATAGTGTTTTCAAAAGCACTGACTGACCCACCCACCCACTTCCCTAAACCTACCTTGCAGTTTTCAAAGACAATCCAGAAAAAGAGAAGCCCTCGTCTGATTTTTACCACGTTTTCAAATTTTACCACATTCTTCCCCTGTTATTTATTGTTTGGCTTCTGTTTTTGTCTTACACACTTTCTGGAACCGTTCTTCAATGGACTTGAACCCCGTCATTGTGACAAACTCCTCACTGCATCTCAAGTCTGCCGACATACACGGCGAGCCAATGGACGAACTAGTAACAGAGTGAAAGTCATCTATACGGAGGTAAGTGGTTAGCTGATAAGTGTTAAAAGGAACGGCATCATATGGCCTAGTAGCGTTTATTTAAAAGACGTAATGTGGCTAAACGTACTTCTGGCTAAATAATTCACGATCTCCAGAATTGTATATAAAGCTATGTTTTTAGAGTGAGCCTGTGTTGTTTAAAATAGTTGACTCCCTGATTAGTGCACTGACTACTGAGCAAGGGAACTGACTGAGACGTACCCAATATGACTATATATCACACATTATTCCAATCATGGGACCACTTAAGCCCCTTTTTACAAGTCTCTTAGCGTGTGGTGAACTTCAAGCTCAAAATACCACTCAATTATTGTTTATAACTGCTTGAAACTGACCCCCCTAGACTCCAAATTTTGTTTCTTTAAATTAAAATAAGGTTACGCTCCTGGCCCTGTTTTCAGAAGAAGCTCTCCGTGACGTTCTTGTTGTAGGCTCTAACATTGTCAGAAACGAGAGCGACGCGCAGGTCATTCCAGAAGAGCGGCTGCACTCGGGGGTTTCTGGGCCAGGACAGAACTGACTTCTTGCAGAGTCGCTTTCTCATCTGAAGGTACTTGAATTTGGGGAAGAGAAAATCCAGCAAAACCAGAACAGCGACGTCCACCTTCTCATCCAGAAGTCTCTGCTGCACCAAAAGGAAGGCTTGACGTACTATTCCACTTGCGTCAGAATAACCCCCAGGGCTGGTCAACACAAACACTGTCTTTCTGCTGCTGTAAACGGACTTGTGCAGATTCTCAATGCACGAGACTCCAGGAATCCAGTCACGCTCTTCTAGGCAAAGCTGAAAGCGCCATCTTCCCCGGTTCTCCAATCTCACAAGCATCTCCTTGTAGATCCAATCCCTGACTGCCTTATTACTGGTATCGAAGACCACAAATGCATCATACTGGTTGTCCGTGGGGTTGCCATTAGCTGGAGTGTGTCCCCGATGTCCAGTCCACAGAATCTGGATTAAATACCACAAATCCCAGCCGTAGAGATGCTTCAGGAGAGGAACGCAAGTTGCTGCTAGTGTCAATAGTGAAGTACAGAGGAAGGCGACTCCTCCGAATATCTCCTGGCATGAGCGAAGATCCACCGAGAGGACATTCACGCCGGCTAATGACTCCGGGAAACCACAGTGAACCTGTGTAGTGAGATGAGGCACATCCAAATCGGTTTCTCTAAGAAATTTGGCAAATCCTGAAATAACACAACTGCAAGTAAAAGGATTGGCATGTAGGACAAGTTTGCAGGAGGACCTGTTTTTATGCTGCCCACCGGGAATGAAAGTACAACCCTTGTGGAATGGCAAGGGGAGAGCCTGGACGTCAAGAATCTTGAGTTGGTTGTTGTTGAGATTGAGGTTTTTAAGGTTTGCTGCCTGACTAAGGAATACCTTTGGAATTGCAACCAGTCGGTTGTGACTTAAATCCAGTCCTGTGAGACGGAGCTCAAAGTTAATATTGGGCAAGTACGAAAGCATGTTTGAACTCAGATTGAGGTAGCAGAGTTGCTGGAGAACTGAGATGTTTGCCCACGGGAAATACGTCAACATGTTGAAGTCGACTCGGAGAACTTGGAGACTCAAAGGCAAGTTCACGATTACCTCTGGGGAGAGAGATTTGAGCTGATTTTCAGAGATGTCCAAGTGCGTAAGGTTGGTGAGTCCCTGAAAGAGGTTTATGTATTGATTACGCCAAGAGTCCCACAATATGTCCAAACGATTCCCAGAGAAAATGAGATACTTCAGAGAAGCGCTGGTGAGGATGTTTGAGATCCGGAGACCGATGTGATTGTTTGCTAGACTTAGTATTATAAGAGACGACATGTGCGTGAGGAACGTGAACTGATGCCCCATTCCCTTCATTATAAAGTGGAACTCGTTATTGCTGAGGTCAAGAGCCTTTAGGGTGCCACTGACCTCCTGAAAGGCCTTGTCGGAATACAGGTCAATACGGTTGTACGCCATATTAAGGTAAGATAGTTTGCTCAGATGTGAGAATTGGTGGCCGTTTAAAGTTTGACTGATGTAGTTGTAGGACAGATCTACGCATGCCACTCTGTCCATGCCTCTAAAAGTGCTTGCGTTCAGCCATGGGATGTTGTTCTGAGACAGGTCAAAATATAAGCTTTTAGAGCAGATTTGTCTTTTGAAATGCCACATGGAGAAATAAAACGAACAGTAGTCTGGATTTGAGCCTTGTGTTTCTGCATTCAGAATGGGGAGTTCTTGCATTTGGAGGTTGAACTGTTCATTGCCATGTCTGTCAGGGATTTGGTGTTCTGCTTCAGTAGTGCATGTTGAAAAGCACGAACTAAAGGCGAGCATGTTCTGGGAAAGATCTACTCTTCTTAATGTCCTCAGCTGGCTAAGACCGTCAATGCTAATGTCGCAGATGAAGTTCATGCGTAAATCTAAGACCTCAAGTCTTGGAAGTTTGACCAAAGGTGCAATGCTGCGGTTTGACAGCTTCTTGAAGAAAAACCCACTCAGGTACAACTCTCTGAGAGACGCCATCTTCTCTATGTACGGTGACAGATTCAATTCGGGAAAGGTTTTCAGGGGTTCATAGTTGTAGAGAAGATTGAGAATCACAACATTCTGGAGCTCCTCGTAAAAGGTGCCGTTTTGGATGGTGAAGGCTAGAAAGTTGCTTGAGAGATCTAACTCTTGGAGCTTGTGTAGGTTTATGAAGAGATGTCGAGGAAGAGTACGAAGCGAGTTGCCTTGCAGATGCAGACTCACTAGGGAGTCTCTCTGGTCCAAAAAGGCATCCTGATGGAGATCCAGAGACTGGTTGTTTGGGCATGGGAAGCAGGGATCAGAAGCGTGGTCGCACCTTTGGCAGTTCCACCCCAGGTTGAGATGTCGCAGATTTCTGAGATTTGCAAAGGACTCTTTATTGATGTGATCAATTGTATTCTCTCGCAAGTCTAGACTTTCTAGTGAACCTGGAAGATACGAGGGAATGGCAGTCAAGTTGTTGTAACTAAGGGTGAGGTTCAAAAGCTCAGGAAGATCCTGAAACACACTTGAGTTGATAAAGTAAGGCTGGTGGCATGGGTTTGCGTAGAAACAGTTCTTGCTTAGCAGCAGTTGCTTTAGTTGTGGTGTGCCTAAAGGTTTGACGATATTAAAAATATTGTTGAATTCCAGTCCCAGGACTTCAAGCTGCTTTGGCAGAGGAGGAATCATCTTCAAGCTGTTCCCAGCTAACTGAAGGGAAGTGAGGTTTTTCAGTCCAACAAATGCATCCGGGTCAATATTCACACTGCATAACGGCCATCTTGCCTCCTTAAGACGGTCTGATATACAGTTCCACATCAGGCTGAGATACTTGAGATTGGGTAGACCAGAAAATGCATCCCCTTTAATGCGGTGTATATGGTTGTTATTCAGGTTGAGTGATATAACTGAGGGAGAAGTGAACCTGGGGACTTTAGAGAGCCGTCTGTGCTGGCAGTCCACATTTATGTGTCCGTCTTTGGTGAAGTGACTTTCACACGGATAAAACTGAGGATGTGAAGCTGCGAAGAGTTGGAACTGATTCAGAAGCAGAATCAAGGACACCATTGGTCCAAACATGGCCTGGAAATGAGAATACGAATATCAGAAAAGTCTATTATTTGCTTTAACTTTTTTTTTACCCTCGCTTTAACACTAGACCAGCCATTTTGTGTGCAAAAAAGCATATGCTCACACACACACACACACGCACACACACACACACACACACACACACACACACACACACGCACACACACAATTAAGATAATAAAAAAGATAATAAGAATTCTCCTCTTAATTTCTTCTACATATATTTTTAATAATAAATATTATTATTACATATTTTTTGTTGTATTAAAGTGTCCTGTTTTATATTTTCTTCTCAGAGATGATTATATGCATATTAATATGCTTCTTATGCATGTAAAATCACATTTGTTTTTAAATTTAATTGTACGAGGACACCAAAATGGTCTCGTCTGTGACCCATAAAATAATAATATGCAATGCAGTTGCATGCTTGATTCTGATTGGCTGATGATTACTCTAAGGTGTTTGGTTATTGTCAGATAAACACACAGCTGAATAGTTCTGGCAGGTTTAGAGCGCTTTACAGCTCTGTATCACTTCGCTGAATGAGATATTTCACAGCTACAACAATAAAAAATAAAAATAAAAACACAAAAGAAGGAGGAGGAGATGTGGAAAAAACTAGTGTTACACAAAGGAGCAGTTTGAGAACAGAAACCTGACAAAAGTCTGAGCTTTAGGTGTGGGAATCATAGTTTAAGCAGAATAATGCACTCCAGGCCACTGAATTATTAGAAGATAAGGCTTATAATTTCTTAAATGTGGTTCAAAGATGAGAAATCCCCTTTTAGAGTCCACACATCACATTCAATTAACAAAGGGGGTTTAATTTTCCATTGTAATGTTTTAAATAACTTTTGGGAAAATATGAATTCAATAATACTCCATCATATTGCAACCAAAACAAACATGTTCATTCAAAAATAAAAGTTAATCTGGGCTCTACTTTTCGGGCTGTATTATATCTTTAAAAACTATTTTGTTTCAGACTCATGTGCAAACTATTTGATACCTTCCCTATCATTTAAAATACACATAATAATAATAATAATAATAACAATAATAATAATAATAATAATAATAATAATAATAATAATAATAACAATAATAATAATAACTTACCAAACGTTTGCAATCCAACTCTGACATGTCCATGCAGCAGTGTGTCTTACATTTATAAGGGGAAGCAAAGAAACCAAGTAAAGCTAAGGCGATATATTCATATTACCGTAGTGAACATTAGATGGAAGTGAAAGTCAGTCTATCAGGCAAACAGATCGAGGAACAGATGTTCAGAAGTGGTGAAGCATGTGATGAAACAGGGAGTCCTATTAGCTATTTCTGGTTATCGCTACTGAAAATAAAAGACTGACGTTCCAATAAACCAAAGTCAGTTGAGTTTTTTTTTCAACTTTTGCTTTAGATTTATTCCTCTCTTCGTGCATGGTTTAGCATTTTAGTTGTAGCTCACACTAGTGCCCACTGTCATACTGATATTGGGGGAATTAAAGGGGAAAATATGAGACCTTTGAGATACATTTTTTAAATATTATAGTGATGTTTAACAGAGACATTTTCACCATAGCATTTGCTATTTTATTTTATTTTTTCTAGAAAAAAGTTATTTATTTTTCCCCCTTTTTCTTTTTTTCTTATTTATTTTAGTTTGGCTGGAATAAAAATTATTTTAAAGATGCTGTGGTCAATATTAAAAGATTTTTTTCTCTCGATTGTCTGCAGAACAAACCACTGTTATACAATAACTTGCCTAATTACCCTAATTAATTAAATTGCACTTTAGAAAGAGTAGCATCTTTTATAATAACTAGTAAATTAGGATGTACTGCCATCATG